TTGGGCTGCCCACTCGGATTTTGGCTCATGTCTTACCTGTTCATAAGATTAGTGGATTATTTCTCCTACATAAGAAGGGTTTCCTTCACCACAAAAAAAAAGAGCGCAAAACGCTAAGAAATTCCTTATTAATCAAGCATCGCCTCAGTAAACACGCCATATCCCAAACACCGCTCATCAGTCACCTTCATTTTGAACAAATCAAAGCATTCCCAGTTGATGAAATCATGCATTTAAATTGGATCTCACATGCTTTATCTCCATTGGGGTTTCGTGTTTTCGCGAAAAATGGGACTTTATGCCGTAAACGGTATATACGTTTGCACCGGGTTCAACCTCATCCGTACATGTCAATTTTTAAGCAACTCGGGCGTTATATAACTCTTAATTATTCCACCGACTTTAAAAACTGACTAATCTTTTGGTTTAATGGTGGACTGAACCTACTCCAGTCTTCTTCTTTCGGTCCCCAATTTTTGGATTTTCTTCTGCTTTTCTGCTTCTTCTTCTTCTATGTGTCCATACTAAACAGTAAACAACACAAGTCTTTGCCTGAACATCACGCAGTATGCCAACATAATATATTGCTAGTGGAAGGCGAATGGCAATCAGATGTGCCCTCTCTAAATGTTTTAATTAATAACGCCACTGAGCAGAGAGAACACATCAGTGGATTTTGCCACGTTAGATAGGAGATTAGTAAAGATTTCTCTAATATGGAATTAAATTAATGTAAACAGAAAAATCTCTCATGATATCGTCGCTATCAAGAAAGAAAAATAAAAAACCACCGACTTGGAGAAGAACAAGGACCAGTTGTTCTCTTTTCTCAGGTTCACGGGTGCACATGAAAAATTTAGAAGCGACGACAGGTGAGGGAGGGGATTGGTTTTGCAAGAATTTGCTGATCTGCGAAAAATTTAGAAATGATTGTCGGCGGGAGTGATTTTTTTTTTTTGGCCAGAATCAAACACTTTTCATTGATATCTAGTAAAACCATAACCCCTTTTCGGAGTCTCAAAACAGAGCAAATCTTTAAGGACCTGCGGAGGACAAATCAACCGGTGATCAGTGAGTGTTTTGTTCCTGTGGGTCTTCGCTACCTAGTCCGCGATACTGTTTGTATTTCTATTACAGTATTGCAGTTTTAAATTAGTAAAGAGAGACAGCAACCCACGTGCTTCAGTAATGACTACCCGCTGTTCCCACGGCAGTGCTTGTGAAGACTTCAAGGTGTTGACCAGATTCAGACAATCTGACTGGACAGTCAGTCTTTCATCCGCACGTGAGGAGAGAAATTTGAGGGTTTCTACCATTGCTAGGCATTCGGCTTGCTCGGCTGAGGAGGTAGGAACGTCCTTTGCAAATCCGTCGATCAGAGTTCCAGCTGAGTCGCGGTACACACAGGCGATTGATCCTTCGAGTGATCTAGGTTGGTGTGGTTTTGCAAGAATCGGCACCCGAGGAACGCACCCGACACGAAGACCATGACACCACTATATCATTCGAATCATGGCGAGGGACGCAGCACCAAAGACATCGAATTTATTAGAGGCCGTCTTATTTGTAATTCATGCATAACCGAATCGAGGGCACTGCTAATTGAAGACATGTTTTTATTTCGATTTGCTCTAATTGAACGAGTGTTTTTATTAGTTTTCCTCAATTAATCTTTGCTCTACTATTAATTTAAAAAAAAAAGAGTAAGTTGATTTGTTCTTTGTTGGAAAAATAGGGCTCGATGGCCACTCGTAGGGCGATGTCCTTACCTCGTAACCTTTCAATCGGACGACTCGGATTGGAGAAATTACAACCCCATCGTCCACTATTCCCTTTAAACTCGCTACTAAATCAGATCAACCCATTTAAGTTTCTTGGATCTCAAGGTCAATAAATGAGCTATGTCCTAAGATCGATATGCCAAAGTCCACCCTAGGCTTTGCTCTTCCGTGTGCTATTATTCTCCAGGGAACAGGCATGGCTTTCCGACGTCACCGTCAGTTGGACACCGTTATCGAAACCGAAAGTGTGAGTTTCTGTCCATTGAATTTGGGAGATTAGTGCTCAAAAAGCTGAAAAGATTCCTGAAGTTTGGGCTTTACATGGGGACTATATGTACACAATCCCCGACAGTCAAAAACACGTGCGGATTCGGTCAGGTGCGATTGTTGGTGTCAGATTCGATTGAAACGGGTCGGGTTTCGGCCCAAAACAGGAAACGGATCATTAGGCGGGCCGGGTATGTATTTGGGTCGGACATGATTTTGGCTGACTCAGATTACTGGGGATTGGACCGGTACAAGTCCATGTGAGATCTGAATGTAGCCTATGCTGAGAAGCGCCAAACTCTGTTTTTCTGTTCTTTTCCTTTTTGTTAATGACCATGTAAAATCCGCGTCGTTCTCACTTGTGCCGGTTTTGGTGTGAAAGATCCACGGGGCAACGGGGAGGCCCCCGCCCTTGACACGGAGCGAGTCGGAGTAACTGCTCGTGGGGGACTCGAACTCCACACGGGTTTGCAGAGTGAAGAGCCCCGGCCAGGCACACTGCTGCCTGTGGAGCGAGAAGCACTTTAATTTAATTTCGGTTGGCAGATCAAATCGACATTTTTTTTGCAATCATAACATGACATGATACTCATTGCTTAGTAGATGAGTAAATCTCAAGTTCGGACCAAAAGAAAAAATCAAGTTCATCCTATTAGCCTGATGGTTGGTTCCGTATCGAGTTATGATGGAGTACGTTAAAGAATATGGTAATATTATTTTACAAATTTGGGCTAACAAAATAGTGTGGGATATAGCAAGCAAGGGGAATCATGTTCACCATCCAAAAAAATTTACTGCGTCATATTGTAAATTAGAATCGATGAAAATCATAATCAACGATTAGAAGAGTAGTTTTTTGGGTATAAGGCAGCAGTAACTTTTTTCTTTTTAGCTAGAGTACGAGGAAAATTATTTTATGTTGATTATACAGCTGATGTGGTGTAACAAACCAAACACATCATCGATATGACATACATCACAATCGGCCTTCGCATTTCAACTATCGAAACTCTCCCTTTTTTCCGGACAATTTCTCGATGTATTACCTCGTTGTCTAACCATCACACAAAGTGTTATTTGGATGCTTAAAACACATGGAGGTTTGGCATCTGTCTAGAGGATCTTTCATATAGAGAGAACAACGATAGACAAGCTTATAGCTCGTGAAGAATGTTCGATCTTTTATACTCATATCGCATCTAGTATCAATTCTTCTAACTACGTACATGAATTGGCTCAACCATTAAAAAGAGGACTGGATTCCTATAGTTTAGGCACATATCAAAAAGTGCAACCAAGAGAACAATGTTAGCTTTAGATCGCTTGTTCAAGATTTAGACTCGTGGGTGGATTGGGCTGGGCTGTGCAATCCGCGTACGTTTCTAATCCACCCCTCTAAAAGATCGTGGGATCCACCCGATCAAACAACACCGTTGGTCCCACTGAGATTGCATACATCCGATTCACCAAATTGATGGGCACGATGAAGATCCAACGTCGTGTTGTTATTAGAGTGCTCGCTACAAAAATACGGGCTGGGTAGACAAAACGATTTTGTAGCTAAACCCCATTTTCTTGTGGTGTGAATATAAAACAGCATGATCGAGAAGGATTAGATTCAAAGTCTTTCATGTGATAAAGGAATGATGTCTTGTGGCCATTGAGAGATAAATGTCCATCACGACCATTAATAACTACCAATGTACATGAATGAAGAAGCAAGTGGCTCAGCAATGGCTGAAAATGATGGATGTTGTACTCCTAAGAGGCATGCTTTCTCGATGACCCTTGTAGAACTCTCAGGAAGAAAAAGACCCAAAAGGCCAAAATGCACTCAAAAATTGAACAATGCACAAGAATGATGGGATCTTTTCATTTCTTTATTTTTTCTTTTTGGTACACTCTAAGAAAGGACCCTTCATGCCCAAGTGATGGATCCTTCTTGGCTTCATTAAATCCATTCTTGCCATTTTCTGCAAATGAAAACAAAACTGAAGCAAAGCCCCCCCCCAACATGTGATTCCCCCTAAGCATTATTATGTCTTCTTTCTTGGGACCACCTTCCATGTGACCAAGACCAGAGAGGACTAATTAGAAGAACACACCCTCTTATCCTCCCAAATGGCCAAAGTGAAAAAAAAGAAGACAAAAACCCTAGCAGCTCGTGGAGACTTTGTTTGGAATGTCCTCCTCAACTTCATACTGATGATTGAGTTTTTACAGTAGAGGAGTTTCCCAACGTCTTGCAGAAAACTAAGTCAGACACATTCTTTACTTCCCTCATGCATGTAAATCCTCTCTGTTTTGTTTGATTAGTACGAATAAAGTTTGAAATATCTTGCATCATCATATGTCATACCCTATCGAAACGTCGAAAATGCTTAATCCCAAATGCCGGTTAAATGCGAATGTACATGACATTTGAACTCGAATGGTGTCCAAGATGTCACATTTTTTCTACCACTGCGCCAAACCCTATGGGACTTTTCCTTAGAATATGGTACTAAATGTATGACAAGTACGAAAAAATTTGCATGACGTGTGCATGAGAGCTAGAAGCAAAGTCATTTTGTGAAAGACTTAATCTAAAATATCAATGGAAATACTTCAATGTAAAAAATACATTTATAAATAACAGAGGTAAAAGTAATTGTGCATCGCATCAGCGAGGGCTAGTATATACTATTCTCACTATCATATCTGTTATCATCACATTTCCTTGCTTATGTAAAAACTTCTTGCAAATTGTATTTCCCCTCCTAAACCACACACTTTTGTATCTCCGACAGCATATTAGTCGCTCAATTTTACTATGATAAGCTCCTAAAAACAAAAGGAAAATCTGCATGCTTTTATTTATTCTAGGGTTTTAGTCGTCACTGAGGTTTGTAGTATTCCATGTGCATTAAAGGTTAAGAAGAAGGAGAAGAAGGAGAAGTTGACATTGCAAGATGGACTATAAGAATATTTATTTATTTATTTTCTTCTGCATTTTAGTTCTGACAGCAGAAGCACATTTTGCATCTCAACAAAGACGAGTAATTAACTCCAAAACCGAGGCCTAAAAGATAAGAATAACACGCGAGACACTTCCGTCTTTCAACAACGATTTTGCTACACTAATCAAGAATTCGATTGAACCATATCTGACCCTCAAAGAACAAAAAGATAAAAAAGAAAAACCCTAAAAAATTTGGACAGCCACTTCTACTTAGCTACTCACTCTTATATGCAGACAATAGAAGAAATTTAAAATGAAGAAAAGAAAATAAAGCATCGAGAGTTTTTTTCTGTTTCTCTTTTTTCTCTTAGGTCCAAACCCTCATTCGAATAATTATGATCATTACCCAAACCCTAGATTAATATAAACTTATCTAATTTTTATTTACCTATGACAAACACATCTGTAGTGGTAAGCACTGTTAATGGGATCATTCCCTTCAACTGGAACTTGTTCAGCCCTGCATCTGTACTTGCAACCTCTGCACTCATTGTATGTGCATATTGGCCTCGTCGACCCAATCATTAATCTCCTTGAGTCCCTATATATGTTCTCATCTTTGTCCCCCTGTAGCTTCATACCCTATAAAAATCATATTCCATTGAGAAAATAATTCGAAGAATAATTATTCAGAAACACAAGAACCCTTCAAAAGCAAATTACTAATAATAGCAAGTGCTAGAGTACGTAGTATAAAACATGCTGGTGCTACTGAACATTGAGGTATGATTCTCTTCGTCATCATGTGTTGTTAAGTTTGAGTTGACATGGCCCATTTACTTCGAAAGGTTTGAGCATATAATGAAAGATTGGTTTATGTTTCTGCGGCAACACTTGCAAGAGGTTTCTGAGTGCTCACCTGCAAATGCACGGCCTCTCTCTGTAATGAAGCTACATGGAATTCAGGACTAGTTCTTGAACCTGAAATACCAACAAGAATGACTTATCAACTCATCTTGTAATGAAAAGATAGCACATTTGAGAGAAAAGTGTTTAGATTGCAAAAGAACTAAGCCTATAACACACTCATCAGGATTATCTGCCACACTGACAATGACCTTGTATAACGGAAGCAGCAAGAATCAAGCTGAAGAGAAGCAGCAGAAAGGGAGGTACTTTAAGTTTAGCCATTCTTGAAATGCGAATCAAACCCTCTCTCTTTCTCTGAAGTTTCAAAGCGAGGGGTTCGAATTTATCTGAAAGATAAGGGGGAGAGAGAGAGAGAGAGAGAGAGGACTGAAGGGGTGGGTTGTGGTCAATTACTGACCATAAGAGATAGACTGACCTAAAACCCTGCAAGTGTTTCAGATAAGAGGCACACTCCTTCACCACCTAAAAAATAGAGAGGTCCCCTACGTACTCTTCAACCGACAGATTGCTTAGTAATTCCGGACCCGCATGCAAAAAACCAAAAAAAAGAAAGTTGAATTTAATTGCAATTTGCTTGCCAAATTACTAAATTGCCCGTCGATTGGGATATAGTAGTGATTTCTTTCAAAGGGTAAGAAGGGGCTTTTCTGGATCGAGAATCTTGTGTGGAAATTGAGAAGTTCTTTTGTGGGTTCATCATCATCATGTGTTGGCCCCCGAGAAGCAGCTTTAGGAATTGCCTAGAGAGAATAAAGAGTGGAAGATCCTGGATGAGCATGGAAGCCATGTATGGGCTCTCTCCGAGTCAGATATGCAATGTGGCAAATAATTCAGGAATTTAATGCTGTTTCCAGTGTAAAATCATGGCTCCGCCTAAAGGAAAAAAATATTTTAGTCTTTGCTGTGTGCAGTTCTATTATCTGTTATGCTAGATGATATTACATAGTTCTGTGTAACAATACAAGTCTACAACTAATTGTTGCTTGTTCAATGATGATGTAATTGTTCTTTCTATTACACAGAGGGACTTGCTCACCTAACCGTTGTCGCATTGGAAAGGAGAATGAAGAATGTGGTCCTTATTACTGTGGACTCACATGCATTAAAAAGAGCATGAGAAAGATCAAGATGCTGCTGCTGAATCTATGAAGACAGAAGCACCAGTGGAAATGATACGACACTGATTGTACTTAACGCCAAGAACAGGACCACCATCAACTTGAACTTCTGTGTTAAAATCACGGTGCCCAGCATTTTTAAAATTTTCCTTTTTCTTTATATTATCATTCACCAAAAGACTTCCACTTGTTACTACAATGAAGGTCCTCTATAGTTCAACTGGAATTGATTTGACCGGTACAACGGTAATAGCCGGATACATCAAACTGCGATCCAAAGTAAAGAATCGAGGCAACTGATTTTAGTTATTAGATACGATTACAGTCAGTTCATCCCTATCAATTTGTACTCTACACGTTACAACTATGGAGAAATGTAAGCATGCAACTTCCTTTAAAAAATAAACGATTTGCAAAATTTGGTGTTATGATGTGAAGAAGCAGCTCGAAGCCTCGAACATATCAGAAACGATCAATGGCGTGCTCTTCCATGGGCAACGGAAGCTTACAGAATCCAGAACACGTCTCAGAAGTCGCTACAAATCCCCAAAGCCATTCACTTTGCAGCAAACAGATGAAACTAAGGAGTTCCAAACAGGGACTTCCGGCATATCGCCCCGGCTGACCATCTCCTCCAACCACATGACAGCTTGATATTGCCTGCCAATAGTACAAAGGCCTTGTATAATTGTACTGAAAAATCCAACATGAGGAAGATGCGAGTTGATAATCATCTGCTCCAAGATTTTGCTCGCTGTCCCAAATCGACCTTCGCGACAGAGCCCATCCAACAGAATTTCATAAGCTTTCTTGTCAGGGGTGCAACTTAACTTTTTACGCATCTTTTCTAGATATTCAACGGCCACAACCGAATTCCCCTGATTACACAGTCCTTCAAGCAAGATATTATATGCTCTTCGTTTTGGAACAGAGTTGTCCTTCACCATCTCCACATCAATGACCTTCGCTGCTCCTTCCACTTCACCATTCCTGCAAAGAGCAGCCAATTTTGCTTCGTAAATAGAATTCGGTGGCCTAAAGCCTTTTCTGCGCATCTCAGAAAGCACCTTTTCGGCTTCTTTAATCTTTCCTTCATTATACAGGTCAACAGCCATGGCACTATAACTAGCAGAACTGGGGACCCCGCCCTTGATCAAAGAATCGTTGATGGAATGCTTCATGACCTCTAATTCTTCAGCTTTGTTACATCTTGTAAGATCAAGAGACTGAAGATGCTGCCTAGGTCCTTTGAGTCCTTTCTTTGAGATTTTTCTGACAATTTCTACCGCTTCTTGAACTTGGCCATTATCGCATAATGCAGACAAGAGGGTTCTATAGACAGCAATATCCTCACCACTTCCCTTTTGGGATATCCTCCAGAACATTGAGTACAGCAAATGGGTGGCTTCATTCAATCTCCCATCTCCGCACAGTCCTCTCATGAGAATACCATAACTCTCTCTGTTAGGATAACAATTTTGGTAATCCATCTCCTGGAAAATACGAAGCGCAAGATCAGAACGCCTTCTCTGGCATAGAGCATCCATGAGCAAATTCAAGGAACGAAGACGGGACTTCACTGCCCATCCATGAGAGTTCTGTACAAACAGATGATAGGCATCTTCAAGCCTGGATTCTTTTACCAAAATCTGTAGAAGGGCATTGAAAGATTCCGTCCAGTTCACACAATTAAACAGTGGAAGATTTTTGAAAAGACCAACAGCTTTGTCAAGCAGTCCATGTTTCGCATAGGTGTTAATTGCAGCTGCAAAAGTGGAATCTGCACACTCGCATGAATCCTCTTTCATCTCATTGATCACCTCTTCCATCTCACTAATTCGGTCACAGTTTGCTAGAATCCCAATTATGGTGGAGTATACTGGACCATTATGACGATAGCTCGGGTACTTATGTCTAGCTTCTCTGAAGATTTCAAGAGCTGTAACTGGATTTTTCTGGCACTTTAGTATCTGAGAAAGCTGAGTAGGATTTAGGAGTCGTGGCCATCTCACAGGCATGGTATCCACAAATTATCTATGTCAAAAGATGGGGCCCTCAATTCTCAGCACACATCAATGTCATGGCAAAAGTCCTCCAGAATCCTACAAGTTAATCTATCAGCAACTTCGCATGGCCCAGTGAAAGCAGTAAGCACAGGTTCCTGCATGAAGCTAAAAATCTTCTATTTAGAGGTTGAAATTCGACAGTAGTTTATGTAATTCTAACAAATATGAGGCACTGGAGATAACTGTATTGCTAAAGAACCTCACTGGATAGATCACCAATGCGGTCTGATTGACTGATTATAATAGACCATTTCATGATCACCCGCAGGAAACCTAGGTAAGATAAGCATTACAAGTATTACAAACTCTGGTCAAGATTCACCTGATCAGAAGAACATTTTATGAGCCAAAACTGATCAGCAAATGGCCCACATGCAAGTGCCCTAGAATCAAATCTGATGTTTCCTCCGATCACTAGCAGCCTGCAAGGGCATATCAACAGTTACAGAATGACTAAAAGCATAAGAATGGCATTCTTAACGTGAAGTGATTGGTCAAGCCAACTGGGCAGATTGTTTACACCGCAGAAAGCTGGATCCGTCGTGTTGTACCTCATAAATCTAAGATCTACATAATCATGTTTGGATGTTGATTCAAATCATCCTGACATCCACACACTCAAAACTCCGAAGCAACTATATGGAAGGATTTAGCTACAAGCATGCAATGCAGACAAAGGAGAAAGATTTAACTTAACAGGCAACCCGATTTTTGCCAAAGAATTCTAGAATCCTGCAGCAGCAATTTCCCCTACTTCTTACATATTTCTTATCTATATAAAGCACCAACATCGTATAAGCAGTGTAGAGACTTCGCCAAGTTCAGTACCCTGGTTGACGACTTTTATCAAACACCATCGAGGCAATCAAGAATCAAACACATCGAACTTAATGTCGAGAGTTGACGAATCATAATTGCCAAGTGCAATATCTTATCTCCGACGAGATCATAACCACCACACCGACTCTGCGAAATCGCAACCCGACACTAAAAATTCAGCCGCAAGAAGCGCGAATTTTGTCCAGTGTGAGTTAAATTTCATCCATTTTCTCGACCAATGGCAGTTAAATGATCAAACTTGACATCACCCACGTAAACCCAGACTCTGCAAAATCGGCACAAAGGACCAAATGGAGGAGCAAACATGAAGGAAGTGGAACTGACCCAGTGTTCTTTTCCTCATCGAGCAAGTGAAGTGAGCGCGGGCGAAGAGAGAGAGAGAGAGAACACCTTCTTGATTAAACTTTGGTTGCAATAAACGGACAATCCCTCGGGTTCTTGTTGCTTCTTGACAGAACCTATGACCTGCTTGCCATGCGATTATTATTAGAGAAGATGACACAAATAAACCCTAACGTGGCTTTTAATTTCTTCAGTGTGGTCCATGAACTTTAACTCAATATACAATATCGTCCCTGAACTTTTGACACATATTCAATCGAGTTCCCGGACTAAATAAAAATGTTCAATAATGTCCTTGAATTTGAATTAACTGAATGATATCATTGAATATTTTCAAATAGTCTAGGGATAAATTTGAACATGTACAAAAAATTTAGGGATTATATTAAATAAATTAAAATTTTAAGAACCATATTACACATCGGCTTAAAGTTTCAGGAATCATATTGAATCATATCACATGGAGGGCGAGCGCCAAAGTAGGCCCAAGTTCGTGGCATCATCCCTTATTATTGTACCATTCGTCAGTTCTTTTTGCCAATGGAACAGTCGAATTTCCAAAGTGAAATGGAGTACCATCGTTGCTTATTATTTTAGTCCTCTAATTAACTTCCTTCTTGTGTAATCAAATCTTGAATAATCTTTTGCAATCAAGTCCTTCTATTTTACAAACATTAAATTGCTTTTACTGTTAAAAAGTAAGTAAAATTAAAAGAAATCAACCTTAAATTGGTGAAACATAAAGCAAAGGAAGATGCGTTTTGCCGCGTTGGCTGGTAAGACGATTGCGGCGGCAATTGTGACATAGTAGTGATAGGTTGCACGATTGAGGTTGTTTAGTCGCGGATTGCAATTTCCGGCTCTCTTAATTCACTGCACCACCTTTTCATTTTTGTTAAATTGTTTTCCTTTTATAATTTTGAATTAATCAGTTTTTATTTTGAACAAGAATTTGATCACGAGACTCACCAGACCCGAGGTATCAATTGGTGGGCCTAAGCACATCATTTGTCTCTTGGACCCAGATAGGCTCGCCCCAAGCTCCACAATTTACATAAGAAAACTTAGCATTTTCCCAATCATGAGAAGGTCAGAGCAAGGATTTTCAAACCCAAGAATAATTAGTCAAGTCTAATCTTCGAATCCTATAATTCATTTAAATAATAATAATTAGTTGCATCACATATCATGTCACTTCGTTGAGGATATTAAAAGAAGGACTTGTTTGCGCAAATTCGGCAATCGCTTGATTGTACTGGAAAAAAGAAAGAGGTAGAGGATCAAATTCAATAAATAACAATACTTAGAAGACCAAAAGGATAAGATGGACTTAATTGAAAGGATGATCCATCATTGCAGACAATTTGCTGTGCTTTTGGTTTTTCTCTGCACTCGTTACTGCTTCTGGTGAGCGATGTATGGAGGAAGGGAATATTCAGTGAATCATTGCAAACATCAATAGCAAAATCCAACTCTCATGCATGGTCATGGACCACACAGGGCTTGGGACGAGAATGTGAAGAGAATTGCTGCTGCAGTCAAATCCTACTGCTTTTTATTGAGTGGAGCAAAAAGGAGGCACTTCATGTGGCTGAGTTTGTCTCCTCTTGTCCAATCGTTGGACCATAAGAAGAAACAATCATTATAATGCCCTTTCATAGTACAGAGGCAATGCATAATGCTAATGTTGAATGGTAAGGCTGTGGAATCAATTACTGGACACAAAGGCATAGTGAGTGAAACATATTGGATGGATACCCAAAGTACATCGTTGTTATTTACTTATTTTTTTCCTTGTCTCGTGCCTTTGGCATCGGAGTTTCGTCTGCCATCAAACGGGTAACTTTAACAAAAGCAAGAAATGTGTACGTGTAGGTGTAGTCTATGGATAGACCAACTTCTTCATAGTTTCCCCGCTAGCGATGTTACTGTCATTTCTGTCGAGCGGAAAGAAAAACGGATAGAGCTCGTATCGGACGTAACAACTGCTATACAGAACTCGACAACCCTTCCGGTCATTGCAGAAATTTGGGAAATTCCCGACAGCGATGGCCAAGCACTGAGCACAGGACAGCTTGGGCAGATCTCTGGTGCATTGGACCAATGCATAGAGAGTGACGAATGGTGTGAGCTTCGTCTCGCCTTTCCCGAGCCCTCTGTTCTTAGGCAGAACCGCATCGTCTTCGATCCGGTCCATCAGGCTCCCTAGCTCTTTGTTGAACTTTTCGGGGTCGGTCACGTTCTTGACATTGAAATAAAATATCCCAAAAGATGTGTCGACCTCACCGATAAAAGTTTGGTTGTTATACCGTAGAAAGCAGTAGTCATACCAGATCCTTGCATCGGCCTGGTCTGGGCAGAGCTGGCGGATTTGCTTGCCCGCGTCTTGGATGCAACTCGAGCAGTCATCTTGGCTTACATCTCCTCTGCATTGTGCTAGGCCATATACCTTGTCATGGCCTGAGCCATAAGAGGTCGTGAGGAAGCCAGTTGACGGGGCTTTCAATACTAACTCGGTCAGGACATGGTCGATGTTCGACCAAATCGGGCTGCCCTTGCTGATGACCGTGTCTTGATTGCAGAATTGGCCCAAGGGATCGGCGGATTCGGCATTAGAAACAGATGGGAGAACTAGGAAGAAGAAGAAGGGCAGGAGATTGAATAGAGAAGTCATGGTACAAAGTTGTGTTTCGATTTCAATTGGAAATTGCGACTTTTCCAACCTTTTTTATCAGGTAAAAGTAGTGGGAGTGGATTGTGCGTGTGTGGGGGCGTTGAGACAGCAGGCATATTTGACCCCAATAGTTGAGTCACACCACGTTGACTTTGAAAATTAAGAAACAGAGCATTGTTTCTAGAGGGTCTCTAGTTTTTGTTTTCTTGCATCAATCGATCCGATCATTGGTAATGCTTTCTCAATAATGCACTATCCACAGACCCACTGCACTTGCACAACCTTTCTCTGACTCCTCAAAAGCCATATTTTCAGAAGAAAGATCTCTTAGAACAAAATTCAGGTTTCTGCTTTGGGTAGTGGTATGCAGTTCTGCTGTGATATTCTTCTATTCATATTTGATTAATTAGGAGTTCACCCGTGTGATGTCTCAACCTCCAGATGACAGAATTCAGCTCGGCCTAGAGGTGTTTGAACTTTTCTCCAGTCTCAACCAAAAATCATGCCTTAGAGTCTGGGGGTGAGTTGACTCGTGTGCCTTGCGATTGAATTCTTTGTTCACTTTGGTAAATCAGGATGAATTAGCTCTAATCCCAAATAACAGGATCAGCTGACACAAAGTGAGGGAAGACAAACTCTTGTTTAAACCCAAAACTTTCTAATCTTCATCACAAGATATCATGTGGGAGGATACTTCAACTGCATCGTCATATGCAGATTTGATCTGCTTCTCACAAAATTGCTTTCAGTTTCAGTTTTCTTCAACTGCATAAGCTAAGTGTAGTCACATAGCTACGTTCAGGCAAAATAAAGTTGGCAATTGGTTAAATTTAATTAACTAAACTCATTTCGTTTTACCTGACAATGTCTTGGCAGTTGAAAACAGCAACGGTGGGCGGGCTTACTATTTGCGACCTAAAAGATCCAATTTGACAATTTCCAAGAATGAAGCACCACCACATCAACCCAATCTTGAAAGCTGATGATTTTTCCACTTCATTCCAAAGACTCCTCCGAAACCTTCTCGAATGCATGCATCTGCATGTGGTCCTTTCCTCTAGCATGAACAGTCACCCCTCTTCGAAACGGGCAAAAAACAGCGAACCACTTGCACAGTCGACGCGAATCATGGGCATCAGGTCCTGTAGATCTCGTCTGCGGATCCATGACAGGATCAACGACAATGACAGGTATGGCCGGCGACAGAATCATCTCTGGACAACCAATTTGCGCAAAATAACAGCTAAATGAAAGCTTCCCAATCTCATATAGGTCCGGCAATTGCGTAGCCGTGTCACCACCTTCATGCTTTATCATCGCCTTATAATGTACATAACCTCTTGATTTTGTACAGATCATACCCTGTGTCGTGCCCAATTCATTGAACGTAGCTTTCGTCCTACAAGCGTGTGCAGACATCGTCCAGAGCCGGAAGTCTCGACTTTATATTGGTCAGTAAGTCACCCAATAAGTCGTATTTAAACTCTTTTTTTGCACCGAAATAAGAATAACATTGAGAAAAATGAAGAAGAATAAGAGAATATCCGAAGTTGAAGTGGAAGTTGAAGTTGAAGTCGCTATCTGTGATTCCACGCTTGGATGCGAAGTCCCCCCCACCCCACATGGCCACACCCCACGATCCACCGGCACCGTGCAGCTATTTTTGAACGAATTAGAGTGGAATTTATGTAGTTCGACTAAAGTGGGCCAGGCCCACGACGTCATCCTCATGTCATCCGACGTCATCAAGTATTTTTGGATGGATGAAGAATAGTATATGGTCCCTTTTTGAATGTCCACATTTCAATAAACGATGAAAATATATACATCCGTTCCGAGCAAAGTTGCCCTCGCCGATACGGCCGTTTGCTGCGTTTAATATCTACTGCGCAAAAGATCCCATGCAAGATCACTAATATACCAAAGGGTAAAAGCTGCAAAAACATCACAAATTATACTCACTGTATGCTATCTTTATCTTAAACTTTTTTCTGTGACACTAAAAATCTCAAATTTATACTTGTGTGACACATATAGTCTCTGTCAAGGTTCCATCAATGAGCACCGTAAAAAATCTGCCTACATGGACGTCGAAAATCCTACGGTGTTGACCGGCACCCACATGGCCAACGACGTTGTTATGGCTAAAATATCATCTGACGGTATCTTGATGGATAGTAAATGTGTCATATAAATACAAGTTTGTGATTTTTTAAGTCATAAAAAAAAGTTTAAGGTAAATGTATCACAGTGGACATAATTTATGATTGTTGATGTCACAAAAAAATTAGAGTAAATATGTCGCAATAGACATATTTTAAAATTTTTGGTGACTTTTTCCCTGTATTAAAATAAGGGTTTAAGCAAGTCCCATGCAAAAACCAAGATAGGCAAAACTTTGATTATTTTCCCAACCACACCCTTCCTTTTAGGGTTTTTATATGAAAATAATCGCTTGTAATGCTTGAAATAATTAGTTAATGAAAAATATTTAGTATCGAGAACAATTTACGTCTAAATATTTCGTGAAATGAAAAAAAAATTCATTCATTAATTTTTTTTAAGCGATACAAGCGATTATTTTTAGGATAATATTTTTCAAATCATTTATTTTTCGCGAAACAAACGCATCCTTAGATAATATGTTTTTACATTATAGTGTGGTCATAACGACGTGTATTCTATCGTAATCTTAACATTAAAATTTGGTATCTCACAGACGTTAGAACCGTTCTCAATCAACTACTGAGATTTATTTATGATTCAAACGTCCACCAACCGTCTGATAAAGGGTTTCTTGATGACAATAGAATTACTAGCCTAGGGATTAGTAGGGACTCTAGTAGAGGGAAAGGTGCGGTCCATTAATCCACTATATGATAAATAGGTGTGGTCCATTAATTAACCCCTCTACCAAGGTAACACTTGGCCACCAAATCCGTATATAAATGCTTTAGCTAAAACAAGCTTGAAAATTTACCATCAATGATAAAGTTAGTCTTGCACAATTAGAAAAATTACTAACTACTAAAGTGGTCCTAATACCAGCCTTTTAGACTATCCATAATGACATTTGACACTGATAGGTGTAATGAGTTTGGGGATAAATTAAGATGTAGTAAACCCTTTTTTAATCTAAGGGTTTATTTTGGAGTCGCTTCGATATTTAATTTTGTACTTTGTTATATTATTTGAGTTCTCACCTTTGTTTAGTGTCAAGCACTGGAAATCTTTCGAAAAAACATAGGAAATCTTGCAAACCATTTAAATATTTGACTTATTATAAAATAATCATAGTTTTCTAACGTTTTAAAGTGTTTTTTCTTTATCTTCAAAATTTTGAAAGAAAAGCGGAGGTTATTTTTTCTAGGTCAAAAACAAAATAGACACTTTATGAACTTTTTTCTTACAAAAAAGTAGATCCGTTTGCACCTGTTTGTGAATAAGAAAAGGAGATTTAACCCATTGAATTCGGTGAAATCTGGAAGAAAATGCTGAATAGGGGAAAAATAGCGACGAAGAAAACGAGCTTAGAATCTACTATTGATATTCGTTATTTATACCGGCTAATGTTTCCATCGACTCGCTAAGATTATATCCCGGGTTTTATTATTCTCGACATTAACCACATGTAAATTTAACTAAATATGACCATAACGATATCTATATGTACAATCGACTAATCAATTATATATATAATTAAAGCGGGAACTTAAAAAATATTCGCCTCTACGCTCACCACGCGACACTTAACTTTATCTATGTAATCACCACATGGCAAGTCACATGCCACATTTGTTGCTTTGTCATCCCAAAATGTCTGTTTTATATTGATTTAAATTTAAACAAAATAAAGATAAAGTATTCTCAAATGTGTTCTTAAATCGACCAATAAACAAATAAAGATTACATAGATTAAATAAATTTCTATTTTTTTTTCAACTTATGTCATTGATTTTGATCTTGGGAAAAAAAGAAAATAGAAATAAAGTAACTTTAAATAAACAATTTATCGACTAATCTGAAATTAAATTGAAATTACATAAATATCTTATTACATGAATGGCACTCAAGATTTGAAGTATAGCTTTTGTTTATTACGTGAATATATGAATTATTTTTCCATTTATATTAAAAAAAATTGAAGGATAACTTATTTGGTTACATGAATAGAGTTGATTTAATATTCACTAAATTTAAACATTACAACAAAATAAAAATAATTGCAATTTATTTGAAACATTCATGTTTACATTTCATTTAGTTCTGCTTCCTTCTTTTAGAGTCCACTCATTTGAAATATATATCATATTATTTTAAGCAAATTTGTTTAAAGAAAATGAAAGACGATATAGTTTTTCTACCAAGAAAATCCACTTAATTTGAAATTGAGATATTTTTCAGGAAAAGAATCAGATATAAGAGAAGTTCATAAGTTTTGACTTATTAGTCTATTTTTCGACAACTTTTGTCTTTAATTTTACAAATTCCAACTAAACTTAAATATTAGATAAAAAGTTATGGCCTCGAGTTTTCACTTTGTGACTCAGCCATTACAAATATTAGTAACAAAATACGTTAAAAAATATGGCACTGTGTAATCCACATACTCTAAAGTTCAAATACAATAGAATTTGCACAAAAAAAAAAATTATGGTATTTTTTTTTGGTAAAGAAAAAAAAAATCCTAAGTAACACATCAATGAATCCTAAGTAAAAAAAAACTTATGGTATTCAAACTCTCATTTTCTAATTTTTCTATTATAACCAACTTAAGAAAGATTTTATTTCATATTTATTACACTCAATGAATAAAAATCCTAAGTAACACATCTGTAAGAGCTTATTGTAACTAATAACATGAGGGAGAATAAACACGTGCAATTATATGTTTACGAATATATGCTCATGCACAGCGCAGGCCACATAACTAGTTAGAGGTGTGATTAGTCGACACTTCCTTCAACCTAGAATGGAGGAATAAAGGTCCATTAAGAGAACAGGAAAAGAACTTCCACCCTCATAATCAACTAATTTAATTTGGTTGGACGAGACTGTTTTTCCATTCACAATCATAAATTTTTTTGCTCGCCCCAATCATCTTAATGAATGGACGATTTCTACAAGTCCGTGCGTTAACATATGAAAAAGGTTTGCCATATTTACCGATATAAGATCACCGAATAGTCCGAAAAAATTACTATCACCTTATTAAGTTTATCAGTAGCAGCCCCGAAATTTGTAGAATTTTTATGCCGTGAATTATATTAGGAAAAGATGCTACTCTCAATCTCTCCTGTTTTAGCTTACTTTAAATTTGATATGGTAACATATCAATGATCGTAAAATGGTAATTAATATGGCTCTAGCCTAGAGGGCGCTTTCTATATGTTATATTCAACGACTTTTTAATTCAATATAATTGCTCTTTCTAATGGTATCATGTTCAATCAGATGTCTTTCATTTCAAAAACATACATTTTTAAGTGATTATATATATTTAAATATATATGAGAGAGAGAATATTTACGGTCTTCGATTTTTATCAAGGTAATTCTACATTTTACTATTGTAGACACGAGACTAACTTTTGCTTATAATCAACAAGTGATAAACCTAGGCGATAGTAAGAGAGTTTGCTGAACAAAAGAAGTCATTAATGAAAAGAACAGTCGACAACTTAAAGAGCATAGTCAACTTGCCAAGGAGGTTAGTGACAGCAAATATCCGTAATCTGGGATGAAGTTATTGACATTGATGTGTAACTACTAAGTAGCGATAGTTTCCAATCTGTAAATTTTTGTGGATTAGTGTTGTTGTAACTTCTTGTAACCGCAAATAGGTTTAAGAAGTTATTTGCTCTTAGATTTAGGAAGTTATATTTTTAAATTCAATTAGTGTTTGTAACCATCGAGTGTGGGCTATAAATAGCCACATCGTACTCAAAGTTCTTTGCAAATTTATCTTTATTTTTATTTTTCCACATTTTACATGGTTTAACACGATTGTCTCCGGTCTTTGTACTTTAAATTTCTTGTCATTTACTTTCATGTCCAAAATCAAGAAAAGACCTTTGCAATCTTGTCGGTTCACACATCGATCCATATATATTCGAAGATATTTTATCGTCGATTCAATTTTGATGAAACATCTTTTTGGATATATTGAAAGGTATTTCGTGGCCGATTCAATTTCGGCAAAACATCTTTTTGGCACTCCTACTTGACGTATTTTGTGGATTCAAGGAGACTACGATGGTAATAACTAGAAATGGTCTGATAATGCTGCTTGCAACATCAATCCAGTGCCACAAATTGGTGACGAAGTTGGTGGGCACTCCGAATCTTCAGCTGTTAATTGAATGGCAGACCAACACAAGGGGGTAGGCCTTTCCCAAAGTCTCACTGAAGAGCAGTTGAGAGAAGTTGCACCAAAGCCTCGTATGGTAGCCACCATGAAGAGGCAATTTAGTAAGGAAAAATAAATTTTGTCGATGACAAGGAGGCATGATGACTCTTGATTTTCTTATTTAAAATAATCAAATGATCGATGAATTATTTAAAAGAGATATGTTGACACAAAAAATGACTAACTTTTGATTATAATCGACAAGTGACAAACTTAGTCGATAGTAGCAGAGTTTGGTGAACAACAAAAGTCCTAATACTCGCCAAGGAAGTTATCCGACAGCAAACATCAATTATCTAGAGATGAAGTCATCGACATTGAGATGTAATTGCTGAGTAGCGATAATTTCAGATTTGCAACCTATTGTAGATAAGTGTTGTTATAACTTCTTGTAATTGCAATAGGATTAGGAAGTTATTTATTTTGATCATAGGATTAGGAAATTATCCTTTTAAATTCAATAACCGTTTGTAACCGTTGATTGTGGGTTGTAAATAGCCACAAGGTACCCTTTGGAATCCTCCAATCAATCCAAGAAGTCAACCTTCTTTGCAAATTTATCTTTATATTTACTTTTTTGCAATTTACATGGCCCGAACACGATTGTCTCCATTTTTTTTTTGGTCTGTACGATTGTCTCCATTATTCGTACGTTCAAATATCTTGTCATTTAATTTCCTGTCCAAAATCAACAAATGACCCCTTCGCAACCTTTGTTGATTTACACATGAATCCATGTATATTCAAAAAATATTTAATCGTTGATTCAATTCCCATTGAACATCTTTTTGGATATATTGACGTTCTTACTTAGATTTCTCGAACTTTCTGAACTCTCTATGCATGTGTTTTAGGGTGGCACCAACCGGGTAGCGTGTCCATGCAAAAAGAGTTAATGCTACCGCCGCAGCTAAATCTCTCCCAGACACGAAAAAAACCAACAACAATGAAGATGATGATATAGTGAAATTTAAATCTCTAAGGTTGTAGAAAATCCAGATGTAGTCAATGACTACACCATAGTAACACCAATAAACAAAATTAGACTAATGAAGAAACCCGCATCATTTCTATCCACCCTCCATCCGCCATTGCTAGGTCCAGGAGCAGGTGCAGTTGCGGTGCCAATGCCGCCACCGTTCCGTGATGAGACCAGCGTGAGCTTCCCCTTCGACTCCCTGTTGGCTGCGGACAACGAGTGAACTTGCGGTTGGTTACCGATGACCGCACCGCCTACATTCCAGACTTGGTTAACGCTCGTAGCGTCCTTCGGCACCTTGACCGATGCGAAGACCCTCATCTTCCCGTTTGCCTCATCGGCACTCAGGTCCCACACCTCAAACGATAGCTTGGACTCCGTGATCGCGATGTAACTACTGCAGTTGTAGGTCTTGGCAACGAGGGAGCCGTTATCGAGCCTGAGCGCCATTAGGGCTTGAGCGCCAATCATGCCAGTGCTAACAGGATTGATGGCCCAGGCGACCCATTTGCCGTAGGAGGCCGGAGCAGCGAGGTATGCAATGGCAAGGGAGGAGTTGGAGGCGTTGTAGGTGTAGTGGAGGTAGGCGCCAAGCCGTGGGAGGTCGATGCAGTTGGCATAGACCTTGTTGGTGAATTTTTGGGACGTGCAGGTGAGGCAGAGAGCCGGCGAGAGGAAGAGAGAAAGGAGCGAGAGGGAGAGGAGGAGAGAGAGACCGGTCATTGTAGTACGCAGAGAGCCTTGATCGAGAGAGAGAGAGAAGGCCGACTGATGTAGCTATTGTAATTCATCTAACCATTCACATCTATATATACTGTTTTCTTGCACAAGACCTGTCGTTTTTCATGAGGAGAAACTTCACTTTTAATTAGACAAATTCAACATTTGCCAAATATTCCATTAACGTCGTTAATCGAACAAGATGCTGAATATCTTGCCTACCTATATGCCATGTCTAGTTGCGGTCCATTCACGTCCCCTCTACCATGGTAACATGTCGTCTACCAAATCCGCATATAAATGCTTTAGCTGAAACAAGGCTACAAGTGAGTTATGTCTTCGATACAATTTTCCAAATCAAAAAAGTTGAATCTTACATAACATATCTTCGCTCATCTTAGGCTATCTATAATGACAACCGACAGTGATGCTGAGCCGATGTAGCACGAAAACGAGCTCCATCGAGATAAAGTGATTCGGATGGGCCAAAGGCGGCTGATAATATCTTGTACTTTCGCCAAACGTAGCAAAGTAGAAGGAAGGCGGGGAAAAAAAAATCCTAACCTAAGTGAATTTCATCACCTCGCAACAATTTAGGGCTTGTTACATTAACTATTCTTATCTTCTTTTAGTAACAAAAGCAAATTCCAACGTAAGCTCTTCCTAGTTTGCTTCCTTTTGTTAAGGAAATTTCCTAATAGATTTTGAAGTTGACAAAACTGTCTATGTGAATTTTGTAAGTCTGATAAATACTCTGAAGTATTTTGATCTAGGTAGATATATTCTGAAAATGGTAATTCCAATACTTCAAGAGAACTAAATTTTCTGGATACTTGGACTTTACGAGGACTAGAAGGAAGATCTCAGACTTTACGGAAACCGTATCGAGAAGTTAAGACTCTACTGTAAAAGTCACTCAGTATTAAGCAGATGAAGAACTTCAAACTTTACTTCTAAAAGGTTCAAACCCTACTGAAGACCCACACTAACTTAAGTTCTGAATGTGAAACAAGAACCAGAAGTTATCTAGACTCTGAAATTATTCAGAACAACCATAACGGCTAGTGATCTGGCATGGATTTCACAGAATGAAAGTTTTGATTGACTCAATCTTAAAAGGTTATAATGTAAAATTGATTAACAATTAAACATTAAGGCAAGTATATATCACAACGGATAAAGATCTACTTATGGAAACTAATATTCTGGTTGTACGGGCAACCAGATTCAGCGGGATTCAAATTTTGTCAACCAACGGCTACTCGATCGATTTTATACAAGTCTTTCCAAGTTCAAAATTGAAAAATGATCCTCTAAAGACTGTCCAACAGCTAATTTGGAAGTGAAGGAGTATAAAAGAAGATTAACGAGAAGCAGAAGGAAGAGAACGAAGTAAAAAACCAACAAGTCCAAAGCTTGAGTATACTCTGATTCTACTACTTGTAAGGAAAATTGTCAAAAAAGTCCTAAACCTTTTGCATTGGTGCCAATTTAGTCCTAAACCTTTTTTTTGTGCCAATTAAGTCCAAAATCTTTTGCATTGGTGCCAATTGAGTCCTAACCCTTTTTTTTGTGCCAATTCAGTCATAAACCTTTTACATTAGTGCCAATTTAGTCTTAAACCTTTTTTCGGTACCAATTAAGTCCTAAATCTTTTGCATTGGTGCCAATTTAGTCCTTCGACACGTGAATAGCTATTAGCCGAAAGGACTGAATTGGCACAAATGCAAAAGGTTTAGGACTGAATTGGCACAAATGGAAAAGATTTATGACTGAATTGACACAAAAAAAGGTTTAGGACTAAATTGGCATCAATGCAAAATGTTTAGGACTGAATTGGCACCAAAAAAAGGTTGGAAACTAAATTGACATTAATACAATTGTTTTAAGACTTTTTTGACACTTTTCTTACTACTTATCTTTCCTCAGCCAAATATTGAGATCTTGAGGGACATTTTGCAAGAGTGATTGTATGAGATAGAGAATTCTATCATTCACCGAGTGATGTCACTCAAAACTTGTATTTCTTTTTTATCACATAGTGAAATCCAGCCAGTAGCCTGTCAGTGTGGGAGAGTGGACATAGACTTGATCTAACCCTAACCACTATAATTTCTTGTGTGCAGTTTCTCTATCCCTAAACTCTTATTCTATCTTTTATACTGCACACTAGCATATTGTCTATAAAAGTCTGCTCAGAATCTGAATGTCTTTTAGACTTTAATCTTGATTATTTGTTTTCGCTTAAAAATTGATCAAAAGTTTTAAATCACCTATTCACCCCCCTTCCAGGTGATCCTTACTAGCTACGTCACCCTTGACCCCAAATTAGTTCAATTGATCCAAAAATCACCTTTAATTGTGTCAAAATATGTTGGCTGGGTCTGCTCATGTGGGGCCTAGCTAACTTATATAAAAGGAAAAAAAAAGAGAAAAGTTAAAAAAAAAAGAAAAGAAAAGAAAAGCTTCGTGTGTGAAAGAGCCCAAGAGAAGAGAGAAAGGCCGAGAGAGAGAGCAAAGGAGAAGGAAAAAAAGGGGTGTGACTTTGCGGTCTTGATTCGAAGGCCAAACGTTGACGAAATTGGCTCAAATTTCAGTATGTTGTTCGTGAAACCGAGGGCTACAAATTGATCGATTTCGGTCGTTGAGAACCTTTTTCGAATTCTATAATTGCGGTTAGGGTTTTCTTCTTCATTTGTGGTAATTCACTTTTGGTGATGGAAATACTATTGTCTGGTTGATGTTGAGCCTCTAGTGTGTGAGTAGAGAAGAACAGTTTGTGTATCCTACTATTTTTTGTGATTAATGGAAGTTTTTGGGCCGTCCATGATTTTTTCTGGATTGGGTTTCCATTAAAAATATTGGTGTTGTTGTTGCCTTTATCTCCTTATCATTTCGGTATTATATTTATATATTGTGAGGTTGTATTACTAGTTGTTACTGGGCTTAAGTCGATTTTGGTTGATTTAGTTTTGGGGAAGAAATTGTTTATGAATTGGGTTAATTCCTGGTGAATTGTTGTCCGATTCTCCCTAACTTGTTTCAAGTGTTTTTGAAACAGGTATTGATTAGCCCCATTTAACTGAAGCTACAAGGCTGGGTGTGCAAACATAGGGGCCCGAGTGCCCCAATGCTGCTTGCATGGAAAGCCCTAACCATTCTAGTCAATTTTTGAGCAACTCGATACTTTCGAATGCCCGGAAGGCATATCAATAAAAAAAAATGGATCACGCTTTTTCCTCTCCTTTTTTGGCTAAAACACTTCTCAACACGGTATTTTAACAATATTACCCGCCGCTCCTTGTTTGGGCCTTCTGGCCTAGGCAACCACTCTCTACCCTCGTCAGACTGAGTCATTACTGGTCCATTAGTTTCTGCGTGGTTCATCCCAAATCACAAATATACTGGAGGGAGTCCCACTCTTATACTATATTGTGACATTTTGGATTAACTTACTTGGAGTATTGTCCGCTTTGGTCGGTTCCATATCGAGTTTCATGATTTTGTCATTTGGTGCACTGACAGTCACTTTCCCAAAAAGTCACTTATCATGGTAGTACTCCAGTTTGAGCGCGCTTAACTTTGGAGTTCCAAAGCAAAACTTGTTGTTACATCAAAAGGCACTGCATGAGTCAGTTCCGATTTTTCACAAACATATACCAGGCATGTTTTCCCCCTATTTGGTGTGCAATTGGGTTCATTTCTGCCCCATTTGCCATCTTAGAAGCCTGTCGATAGCAACTCCTTATCTAAGTCCTCTAGCCCCGGCAACCACTCCCTGCTCTCATCGGACCAGGTCATTACAATTTGTCTAATTAGTCTAAATTTGACTTAATTGCACAATTTAATTTAAAATTGGGTTGTTTTGATTAATTTATAAAATTTGTAACATGTCTATAGTGTGACAACCTCAATTCGGACCCTATTTCGGCAAGAGAAGTGGCTAAACTTTCGATACACTAATAGCAAGGTTAGACCATGAGTCGATTCACAAATCGTGCATGGGTCAACTATTCGATTAGGATGGGCAATTGAGTGTCGAGAAATGCACTCGACTAGAGTACTCGACCATGGAAAATAGCTCGACCATAAGGATTGATGCAGGATGACCTTATAACGCCACGGGTCAATCAGTGAAAGGTTCGGAATCGATTCGATGGAAGTGTATATAATCGGACTGCGGGTGATTCCGCATAATCATTATACTAAACCCGAACGATCCTAAGCTTATTTCACAAGACCACGTGTCCCGGGTAAATAAGTCAATTCCGCACGATTACATGACAATCGATAATGATCTATGGATTAATGAGACTCGAATATGGATTGATTGACAAATCAACCATAAGTCACGCTAGCAACACCCAAGAGGCCGCCTAACTCGAATAGGCCGTATTAGGAGCACTTCCCATTGAAGTTTAGCTACGAGCTTTGGTCCGGTTATAGGTTTTTGATTAAGGATAGTTCATAGACTTTTCTTTCCGGTTTAGTCGAGATAGACCCCCGGGAATAGTTTGGACCCCGAAACTTTGGACAAAGGAATTATTGGGCCGAGAATGGAAGCCCACAAGTGGGCCGCCCAAGTGGGCCGCCCAAGTGGGCTGAGATGGCCCTCACGCCCAAGGCCAAAGCCCAATGGGATCAAGGAAAGCCCATTAACCTTTTTAAGCTTATTTCTCTTCAAATTGAGCCTGTTCAAGCCCAAGCCCAAGCCCATGTGAATAGAGTTGTGAATAGTGCCGTGAATTGTGTTAAGAGCTGAAATTACCAAATTACCTCTTCTAGAAGCCATCATTGGCTTGTCTTACAAGATCAATTTCTAGCCATTGATCTTGGCTTGTCTTGCAAGAGTGGATCTTGGCCATGCATCTTGGCTTGTTGGACAAGGAGGAAGAAGGGCCAAGCATTTTGTTGGCTTGGATGAGAAGACTAGTCTCTTCCTCTCTTTCTCTCTCTCTCTCTCTCACTCCCCCTTGTTGCCACCCCCTTCTCTCTCTCTTTTCCTCTTGTTTTTCCTTTCCGTTTGGCCGTTGTTCCCCGCCCTTACCGCCCCCAAGCCGTGCCATGAGCTGCCCTTGCCAAGCCACCGCCGCCCGTCCAGCCCACCAAAGCTGCTATCCAG